TTTGTTTTTGTTTTTGTTTTTGTTTTTGTTTTTGTTTTTGTTTTTGTTTTGTTTCTGTTTTTTGTTTTTTCACGCTGCAGCCATCTTAACAGTAACAATAGTTAATAATAATAACAATAATTAATAAATTTATGCGGGTCAAACAAAATAATTTAATGCCTTGATAATGAATATGGCCGCCGTGTATAAAGGTCCATAGACCACACCGGATCGTAACCATGGCCAATGTTGCGTGGGCCCTGCTACCAATATTACATATCATAGACGCATATTGTACTAATTACCAGTCTTGGGGTCAAAACAAAAGAATTCCTTTCTCAGTGAAGATGGGTTTTTTACGGTTAATATTTTTAATAGGACATTTGCATGATGGCATCATTTGACTCCCACTACCAAGATGCTTCGCAAAATTTCTTTCTTATTTAAATTTGGTTTTCCTCATGAGAATAGTAAGACAATTTGTGCTAATTAAATGAACAAAAGAAAGTGTGCAAGGGAGTCTGGTAGTAGAGGTCAATGACGCCATCGTGCAAACCTCCTATTGTTTTGACTCCCAGATTGAAAAATCATAAGCAGAGGCGAATCCAGCCAAAAACATAAGGGGGGTYTTGACCGAATTTTGCGAATGACATACAGAACATGGGAAAAATACAAAGAAATATGCTTTTTATTCTTTGATCAATTAAAGCTTTATATAACTAAAGGGGGTACTACACCCCCCCCCCCTTTGCCCCTCCCTGGATCCGCCCCTGATAAGGTCTACAAGACCTTGCCGGCATTGTATACCTTATATTTAGCAACGTTATCCGATCCCACTGGCTTTCATATCTAGCATCAAAACGTAACTTGATCATGGCTTGCCTTAACTGTGCACTCGATTCACACTTGGGGGAAAAGCAATAACTAACAATTATTCATTGAAGCTGAAATGAATAYCGGGTTATTTACCGAGAATTAGAAATATTCATTATATTCACTGAGCCTGACTTGAATAAAGAGTTGAATTGGCGCCCTGTGATTGGTCGAGTGAACAGTGATTAGTAGACAATATTCATTGCTCAAGCGGTGATTATGAGGTTTGTCAAAGTTTGCCAGAGCGGATGTTCAATACTAAAATATTTTTTTTAAATATATAACAAATCCTGCATTTTGTCTTTTCTCTGATATTTAATTCTAAAATCAGACTAACACAGGAATATCAAATAATAATAAGACCAAATCTTTCCTAAAAGACAGTATTCACTGCCGACAGGTGCTTTTTCTTTCACTTCCATTTTTCCGTACCTAGTTTTTGTTTTTTGTAAATCGCTTTTTAAAACGATTTGCGAAACGCTTATATATCTTAGGGAAAAAACATTATCTTTTGAGGAAAYAAATCTATGTGTTTATGATGTGTAATGAGAAAATCTGTGTGGGTGCAGGCACGGCAGCAAAGGGCATTTGTGTAAGAACCAAATACACCACTCTACATCAATTAGACACCAGTCTTAGTTATTCGCCGCGCCTCTGGGCACGATTTATTCCGCCGTTGGAGATTTCTGGACAATAATACCAAACAATTCGCTAAAAACTGAACCGTTAAATCCCTTTTAAAGAACGTGGAAAATGTATTGATAAAAAGAATCTAGTTAACTTAGCCTATTTTACCAATAATTGATAGATTTTTGCCCATCCTACACCACACCCCATGGGATTTATATAAACTCTCAGCTAAATTTTGCATTCAAGTTTAGTGTAGGTTCTTGGGTGCAATCGATCGGTCAGGCGTGTTTTGATTGTCTTTAAAGGAGGGGATTTGAACGATGAATCCAGTAAGCGGTTTTTCGAATAAAATTTTTTTTTGCAGTTTAGTCGTTTTTTTAGATTTTAAACATCCTCCCTCCCCGACATCTTCCTATTGTAATTAAAATACATGAGCAATATTCAATCAATCTTCCTGGACAACAGTCAAATCGACGTACCATCCCTTCATCAAACAATCTAATAAGGTAGCTCTTCTATCCCTATCTCTTACGGATAGATATAATACCGTTATCATTATAAGATCCCATCAATGCCTATAGAGATTTTGCACCACCCTGTGATGGCAGCCATGCCAGGAGATAGGACCAATTGTATCTGGTCTAATCTGATTTACCTCCTTTATTGGCTGCCATCACGTGATGGTGCAACGCCAGTATTGTATTATTCTYCTATCTCTTGTGGCCTATATTAGCCATTCTGAGGTCGATGAAAAAATTAGGTCAAGCTAGGGATGTTTAGAGGACGAAATAAGCGCCATCTTGGAGCTCGACCCCCCGGGGGGTGGGGAGGGGTACTCCTCCAGAATTTGGGTAGGGGTGTTCCGCTGGGATTCTGAAAGGGGTACCCTGTTTATGACAAAAAAAAAAAAAAAAAAAACAATTTTGTAGACCCTGTTTATGACAAAAGATATATAATTAATTGCACTGAGTTCCCATTTCAATTATCATGTCATCTCGCGTATCGTTTTTTTACGGCCATGATAACCAGTTTTAGATAATACGATAGCAGAATCCCTGAATATGACAGGAAACTCGGGAAGAACTTGGAACATGAGTGAAATTGCATACTCTGTTTATGACAAGAAGCTCGAGGAACCATACCCTGTTCAGCGGATCATCCTTGTATAGTCCATATATGGAAGTACCCCCCCCCCCCCGGGGACTCGACCCAGTTTTCCCTCAACCTCGAAATGGTTAATTCCAAAAAGATTGAATTGTCTGATCCTAGCCTAGTCAGGTGTGAGTGTTCTTCGCATCTATCTTTTCTTTTATCGAGATTTTAGTCTGTAGGTTTAGATAAACCCATTTAAACAGTCATATATGAGACGGAAAGACTCAGTCGCCTCATCTAGATCAGAGTGGACGAAATGGCCTTCTACTTTGAACCATGTCACCAATATATAAGCTATCCTATTCAATTGCATTACTGAGATGACTATAGGATAGTACTGACAATCATCGTGCCTCTCGTGTTTACCGATTCCAGTTTTTGTGAAATACAAAGCCAAATCATTTAAATGAAAGAAAAAGCCCAAATTAATTTCATTGCCGCTTAAATTTGTCATAATTGAGCATGCGCAGTAATAGGGCGACTTTTTGCTCTGCGAAGGTCCTTTTTTCTTCATTAGCATTATGATCTTATTATGGAGTTTCGAGCCTCCTTAACTAAGGAAAAAAGACCTCTTGCAATGGAGCGATTGCTTTAATCTTTCCGTCATTTAAGCGTGTTTTGGGCGGTTTATTTAATGAACATACACAATACTTGGCAAGTGTTCTATTTGCTTCCTACTGATTCAGTTTTTTACGCAATTATTTCGAGTTGTTTATCACTTTTCCATTAGAAATCTAAAATAATATGGGCGCCATAAAGATAACCTCAAGCGCTTGAAGATTAAGTGTGAAGTCAGGAAAAAAAACCAAAAATAAAACCGCGCACGCATTATTACAAGCCATTATCACGAATGACCATCACATTGGCTGACTATTAATCATCAATCATTAATCATGATTTATATTACTCACAACTGATCATTAATCTCGGATTGAACTTCGGCCGTTAAAAGTTCGCCGCCAAATTAGAAACGTTTTTTACTCCCTTCCAGACACGATATGAGAGGTTGATGGTATTATACGACCAATGAAAATCAATATGCCTTTAGATGATTGATTCCCGCGTTTGGCTCAGCAATTTATAAGCCTACTTCCTGGGTACTTTTCTGTGCATCGTTACAAAATATTTATTTCCAGACRAAATAATCCGGTGTTAGGTAATAAATTATAATTAGCTACATTTACTTGTCTGTTTTGTCTATCAGGTTGTTCAAGCTAAACAGTAAAACGCCTGGCAGCTTGAGACTGGGTACGAGACCGTTGGAGGCGTATATATCGAGATTAAAAGAACTCCATATCGCTTCTGTCCAGCACTGATCCAATAACATGAACAACTCAAGCTTTACTCATCCACAGACGTTCTCCAAACAGTTCCAAATCGGAACATCTATGTTCACCGTTTTGATGATCGTGGCGACAATCTTTGGCAACTCTCTCGTGATCGCAGCCTTTGTTACATTCGTTCGCCTTCGCACTGCTACGAACTACTTCGTAGTGTCTCTTGCCGCAACAGACTTGTGCGTGGCGCTTTTCTCTATGCCTATATACGTAGCGTATTTAGTAACTGGTCCTTCGTGGAAGCTGGGGTACATCTTAAAACGTGTGTGGACTATTATGGACGTTCTGTCAGGGACTGCGTCTATTGCGAACCTCGTAGCTATCAGCTTGGATCGATGTATGTGCATAGATAAACCTCTTATGTACTACCAGTACATAACATCTGTGAGGGTACAGACTACTATTGCTATCATCTGGTTATACTCCATTGCCATGTCCATCACAAGCTACTTCATGTGGGAGTATAGAATATTCAACTTCGTTGCTTCGATCATGTACTTTTGGGTACCACTGCTGATCATAATTTCTGCATACTCCGTTGTCTTTAGAGTGGCTTTACATCAAGTCAGAAGAATTAGCATAGCAAGTAATATTGAACAATCCTTTAGGAAATCTTTGAATTCAAAATACAGTTTCGTGAGAGAATTCAAAGCTGCCAAGACTCTTGCAGTTGTAGTAGGAGCATTCATCGTTTGCTGGTTGCCTTTTGTTATAATCAACGCCATCTACACGTTCTGTGAGAATGACAGCTGTCCACCGATTAACGTTAAACACATCTTAATCACCAAATGGATGCATTACGGCAATTCCATGCTCAACCCTCCTATATACGGATTCATGAACAAAGACTTCAGAGTTGCTTTCAAGCACTTGTTGTGTTGTAAGCAAATCGCTTATCGCGGGGAGCAATTCACCGAGAACGCTAACGGAAAAGCAAGAATTTCGCCACAAGTAATCGAAATGGAAAACGAAAACCGAATATCTGGCAGCAATAAGGCATAACATATAAATGAATGAAATAAATAGACTTTATTTAACGAGGGTGACATACATTACTTGTAGTCCAGTAGTTTCCATTATGGCCCTCCTACCAAATGATCAAAGAAACATAAAGTGTTTTAAGAATCCGGCCAACTGGCAAAGAGGCAAACTAGTTGGCTATTTACAAGCATGGTCGAGAAACTAAATATGATCTAATCAGGAATCGGGACAAATACAGTCTCAGCTAGTGGGCACAGCGGGACTCGAACCAATATATTAGATGCTTTCTTGCTTGGCTCGATGTTTTCAACACCGATATTGAAACATGCGCTGAACATAAAGAATTCATTCGACGAAACAGACCGGATCCATTACTCACTTTGTATAAATAAAGATGTGTTGGCTTTGATTCCAATAACCGCTTTTAGATTAGTGTTCGATTCTGTTATCCTCAGTAACTTTTATCTGATTTATCGGAACATTACTTTGTAATACTGTCTAGATTAAGTAGGAACAAAAATACAGATTTTCGCGGCCGCCATRTTGGATGAATTTAACAAAATATTTGTCATTAGTTTCTTTGGAAATAATCTCCAACATGGTCACCATGTAGCTTGTATACAGTCAATTCAAAAAACGTTGTTGTCGACCGGCTCAAGCGTACGCGACTGGACCGAAAGAAATATGGGTAAAATTCACTGAAGCGGTTGAATATTCGTTCTGAATTAATTGTTC